CGCGAGCCGCTGTGAGTGGCCATCCAATGGCCAATAAGCGACTGCCTCACCTGGGAAGAATGCAATGATCATAATACCAACATGGGCCAGAGAAGCAACGTCTTCCACAACTAGACTGAAGAACCAAGGGACAGCAACTTGTCTGTTCCCCTTCCCCGATTCCCCAATGCTGTTCCCTTCCCCCAATTCCCCAATAAAATCTTTAAAAAAAGAAAGTAAATGTCTGTTGTTTAAGCCGCCCAGTCTGTGGTACTTTCTTATGGCAGTGCCAGCAAACTGAAAATGCAGAAATGGGTTTTGTTTTGTTTTTTTGTCAGTGCGGTTCAACCCTGCCTGTCTCCAAACAGCCCTGCCTTCTGAAGGCGAAGGTTGCACAGGCTGTCACCACGCAGGGTTCCAAGAAAGGATGCCTCCTCACCATCAATGAAATGCCCACATCACCCACCACTGCCACCCCCAAGTCCTTTGTCTGTTTGTCCAAGTTTGGTCTGTGCAAATTTGTCCTTGAAAGGGAAAGAAAGATTCTCAAATATTCAAAAATCATCCAAAGGCTTGAAGTAGACACAGTACCAGCAGTGCCCACGTGTCCGCACAGAAGGCCCCTTGGCCTGCCTGGCCTCTCTTCCTCTGCCTTATCTAGAGGAGAGACCAGTGATGGCCTGGAAGGAAGGGAACCCAGCAAACTCACTCTCCAAACCCCAAGCCTGCGTGAAGGGCTGTACTGGGCTGAACTCCGACCTCTGACTGCCGTGATGTCACAGGGGACACTTAGCAACGGGGTCTCCCCTGGGCACACTCTTGGGCTGCTCATTGCAAGAGAGATTGGAAGCCATGCCCTCCGTCTGAGGGCGTGCCTGAGAGCCAGGTCCCTCTTCTTTGCTGTGACCTGAAAGGAGGGGAAGGATGGAGAAGGATGCCACCGCCATGCACAGGAGGCACCGGCTGGGCCCCGGGGCACCTCTGGGGGTGGCCCCTGGACACCTCAAGGCGACCAGCGAGGTGTCTGATCTCCAGAGGAGCAGAAGCATGGGCGGACTACACCAGAAGGGGGACCCTCCGAGCAGCCTCCAGAAGCTGTGCAAGGAACTAGGTAGGAGGCACAGTGGGGTGACAGGCAGCCTCCCCCCCAGCCCTCCTGCCTAAAACCGTAAAGGCCAAGATGGCAAGTGTTGCACACTGAAGTTTTCAGGTGACAGAACCAGGCTGGGGCTCCGACGGGACCAACTTGAGGGCCAGGCACCCATTATGGATGGACAACTGGAAGTTCTGTTGTGGGGGCAGGAGGAAGGGGATGAGGACAGACAGGGACTTGGGGAGCCCTGTGGGCCTGCAGTGCCATTGGACACATGGAGAGTATCCGCCAGCACGGGCAGTGTCTCAGGCTTCTAATGAGGCGTTGTACCCTTGAGTCTAGCCTCCGTATGTTTCAGGGAACCACCTCACCTCCCACAGCCTGGGGTCAGCGGTGAACCTGTGGGGGATGGTACTGCCTGCCATACTTGGCACTAACGCAGCTTTTACATTTTAAAGTGTGTAGGTTTATACCTTATGTTGGGCCATGGTTGCCACTCCAGGATACTTCTAAACATGCCAAGTGAGGCTGAAGTGGGGATGCGTCCCCGAAACACCTTAGTCCTTCTGTGGATCTGTGCCTTGAATGTTAGCTAACACGGGCTCTCCCACTGTAGGCATCTCATGACACTTCCTTCAGAGCAGCAGGACCCTGAGTGGGCTGAAGGGCTGTGGTGACTAATTCAGTCATTTGCTGGAGCACTTAGCAGTCTGGTTCTTCTGGGACGCTCACGCCAGCAAATGGCCTTTTATGAAGTTGATTAGGCTGCAGAAATGAAACACAGTAAGCAGGAAATAAAGCTGACTTTTTCAAGCCCTAGAGCACATTTTAAAATATTTGTTGTTCTTTAGTGTAAAAATCCAAAGATGTGTTCGTTGTTTGAGGAGGAGGGGGAGAGGCAAGGCCAGCCAGCGGCACAGGGGCGGCTGTGTGTCTCCTCACTTTCCCTCTCATGAAAGCTCTGAACATGGCCACGCTTTCTCAGACTCACTCAAGAGGAGCAAAGTTCCCCAAAGAAGAAATCAACCTAAGCCTGCTTAGGAAATATTGCAAGTAGACACAAAGGGCATGTCTCAAAGGATGTGGGCCACGGGCCACCCGCAAGTTGGGACTGAGGTGAGGAGCCAGCAGGAAGGCTTAGTTCCCACCGTTTCAGGACATTCTTACCCAGCACTCCTGGACTTCCCCGCACTGGATGGATGGATGGATGGATGGATGGATGGATGGATGGATGGATGGCAGGAAGGCTTCCGTGTGGCACATCGTCCTGCCACATGGGCACCGGGGCTCCCAGACCATATTGAGGGGCTCAGCTTCCCCTGGAGCTCAAGAGCTTGGAGGATGAAGAGCAGAAGGCCTCACCAGCCACACGCTGGGGCAAGCCGAAACAGGCCTTGCTGTCCACATCGTCAAATGTGGGGAAGGGAAAACCGTGTCTCTCCTTGGACTCTTTTCTTCTTGCCGGATACATATTATAGGAAGGAACAGGGTTTGAAGATGTGCCTGGGACAGCCCCGTGTCTTCTAAAACAGGCAAATACAAGCACATGTATGCACAGACACGGGCGAAGGGGCTGTTGAAGATTTTCCAAACGAAGTCGATTTTTAAATCCCCACTTGAAAAACTATTGATTCTGAATCATGCCAGTCCTCTTCTCTGAGGTTGAGGCTGGGCTGTTTATTTTCTATTTTCTCCCTGAGGGATGTCTTGAGAAGTACGGTAATCCCCCCTTATCTGTGGGGGAAGCATTCCAAGACCCCCAGTGGATGCCTAAAACCATGGATAGTGCTGAACTCTATATATGTACAGACATACCTTTTCCCTCAAAGGGAGCACTTTACAGCTTCTCTTTGGAATATCCAAATCACCAGCATCACTACTCTTGTGCTTTGAGGCCGTTGCTAAGTAAGATAAAGGTTATTTGAACACAAACACTGGGATACCAAGACAGTGGATCTGAGAACCAAAACAGCTCCCAAGTAACTAATGAGCAGGTAGGGTACACAGCGTGGATATGCTGGACTAAGGGATGACTTACCTCCTGGGCAGGACGGAGAGAGACAGTGAGAGATTTTATCATGTTACTGAGAATAGCACACAATTTAAAATTTATGAATTGTTTATTTCTGGAATTTTCCATTTAATATTTTCAGATTACGGTTGTCCGTGGGTAACTGAAACCTCAGAAAGCAAAACTGAATAAGGGGGCACTCCTGTACCAGGTTCTAAAATATTCTCTGAAGACACAATTGTCCCACCCACTCCCTCACAGCCTGCCCTTTGCCATCAGGGCTTTGTCTCTGGCATGGCCAGTCTCCGCCTTGGCGACAGCACAGCCACAGATCAAACATCCCTTGAGCCTGCGTGGGCACTGCAGACAAGGAGGATGAAGAATACTTAGTTCTTATCCTCAGGGAACTCAGACCAGTCAGAGAGGAGGAACGGTGCTCAAATGACCAAGCCCAAGGCCATGTGTGCTGAGCACCAGAAAGGCCTAACCGTGATGAAAGGCTGCCTCTGAGCAGGTCACTTAACACTGGGCAGGGACCCCCAGGCTCCCATGAAGGATGGCATTGGAGGATGGCAGAGGTCAGGGGGGATGTTCCAAGGGAGAGACAGCATGAGAGAATGTCAGGACCAGCCGCATCAGACTCCGTAGAGGAGAAGGAACAGGATACAGGCCGCCTGCTGGGAGCCAGCCATCAGCTCTTCTGTCTGGCAGTTGCCCCCAGCACTGAGGCCTGTGAGCCAAGACGACACTGAATGGAAGGCCTGGAATCGCTGATACAACTACCAAGCTCTGAAAGGAACCCCTCCAGGATGGGGGCTGCTCAGAGGTGCTCTCACCAGGTCTTCCATCAAAAGCATACCTTCAAGCTTTGTTTGCTGTGTGTGCATCACGGGTTCTTGGTGTGTGTTGTGTTATGGTGTGCGTGTGTGTGTGTGTGTGTGTGTGTGTGTATGTGTGTGTGTGTGTGCGCGCGCGCACGCGCGTGCGTGTGTGTGGGGGGGTGGGGGTTGCAGGGGAACCAAGTTGCTTGGGGGAGGAGCAGCTAGTACAGGGAACCAGTCATCTCAACCATTCCAGGCTCAGATGTGGCCACATAGAAATGGGACTGGAATGGCAATGACCTTGAGTCTCCTCGGAGGCGGGTTAGGAAAACCCCCTCCTGAATAACTCGTCCTTGAATTCTCTGCTGGTCTGCAAGCTCCCAGAAACAGGAAGTCTGCTCTGTGCTCAGTAAAAATAGTTCATGAGGCTCATGTTCTATGCTGCCGAAGTCACAAAATGCAGTTTTACCTTAATTGTTCATTGACAATTGCTACTTACAAGAGCCTGGGGCTGGAAGAACCCCCTGGATGCCAGACAGTTTCCATGAACTACTGGGTATACTGCTCTCTCTCGCACTTGGACAAAAATCCTTACTAGCTGGTGTCAGTCAGCACTTTGCTTGGAAAAACGACTCACTAAAAGCTCCTTGGCAATGCCCTTCAGAGGAGGCCTGCCCAGTGAGTTTCCCACCTCTGCCCTCTGCCTCTGCTGCTTCTAGTCCAATGTGCTGTGACCAGGAGGATTTCAAGGGGTGGGGGATTCCCATGAGTCTTGCACATTTATTGTAAAAACAATGCCCTGTGCCTTATCCTGAGTTCTGCCTAGAGAGGGCAGAGGTCTTGGAGTGATCGTGTGTGGGGTGGGGGCCTGTACAGAATGGGCAGCAAATCGGGGGACAACCTGTCCCAATAAAAATCCAGACTCACTTTAGTCATAACCGTTAGTCATCAGGCAGACACTGAGCACTGCAGTGCGCCTGGAGCTGCAGGGAGTCCAATGCCCACCGCTCTGTGGGGTGGTCCCATCAGCCCTCGCAGGACTGAGCTGGGGTGCCTTGGGTTAGCGGCACTCCCACATCATGTGATGAAAGTGCTGATGACAAACACTGTTCCTTCCTCCTCAGAATCTGAAGATCAAGGAAAGGACCTAAGAAGCAACGCCGAAGATACCATCTGGTAAGCAGGCTTTGTCCGGCAGAGGTGGTTTTCTAGAGACGTGAGGACAAAAGAGACGGTGGGGGCAGGTCATGGGGCTGGCATCACGGTTGAGACATGGAGGCTCTGAAGGAGCCCTGCGATGTCCTGGGAGGACCCTGGGGACTCAGGTGGGAGGGTTTGAGGCAGGATGAACCGAGGTGGTTCTCAGGGCTGCAAGTCTGTTCCCCTCCCCTACACCCACCTCCCCAGGCAGCCCTTCCAGCTGCACCATGGCCCCCAAGTCTGTTTCTGCAAATGTTCCCACTCAAATCTCCAGAAGGCAGCGTTGTCTTACCTAACAGATGGCAGGGCCTGCCAGAGGCCTCCTGTGTTGGAGAAAGGCTGGATGTGCTGTACTGTGGACAGAAGCAACTGAGTAGCACTGCCCCGTCCTCGGCACCTCTGCACGTTGCCATCCCTCTCTACCCGCCAGCTCGGCTTTGTCCACATACCCACTTTCCTGCCCTCGGGAAGGAGGAGGCCCTTAACATTCAGGACCCTCTCTGCTGATGTGTCCAAGCAGGAGCTGTTCTCAGAACTGTCCGATGCCCAAGAGGGAGAAAAGTGTCATCTTGAAGCTGTGTCTCCATGACACCTATTCCAAACCACTGCTTCCACTTTTGCAGTCAGGCAAACCTCCAGGAAGACAAGCAGGAAGAGCATCAGGATGCCCTTGGAAAGCCGGACCACGAGAGTGGAAAGATGGAACCAGAGGTTGAGAAGAGCGACTCCGAGGCCAGCGACGAGGAGGAACAGGAAGGAGAGAACACAGACAATTGCACCCAGGTGGCCAAAGTCAGGCCTTGGTCCTTTCACACCCATGCACTATTGTCCCCTCAGGTCGGAGTCCCACCTTTATTTACCTGTTTGGTGTCTTCTTACAGGAACAGGAGTTGGAGTCCATAGAGCTGGAAGACCTTCTGGAAAAAGAGGCAAGAACTTTTTACTTTGGTGACAGAAGTCAGGTGGGGAGGCCTGTCAGGCACAGTCCTGCTGGACCATGAGTGCACTGTGGACACGTGGTTCCAAGTCATCTCTGTGGGGCCGTGGTCTAAGCTGGACTGAGCCCTACCTTGACCCCCAGAGAGCCTTCCAAGTCAAGGTCTATGCTCTTGGTCCAATGCTCGAGCATCCTAACCCCAAACGGTGCAGTGGCTAAAGGCTTGTAGGTCCCTGACAGGAGGCATGAAGGTCTCCACTCACCTTGACCTGGGCCTAGGGAAACATCGCCGAGCCCCAGGCCCTGATGTGTTGGCCAATGACACATCAGAGCTATGGTAGGAATTGGCACAGAGCAGTTTCTGAGGGAAGATGGCTGTCCTCCTTCCCAATCTACGTGGTAGGGAATGGAGAGGTAGCTGAACGTGTTTTACCGGAATTTACAACAGATTGGTGTGATTCCAGGGATTCTGGGAAATCTTTCACCCACCCCAAATACTTTCCTTAGTGGTGAATAAAGTGCTACCATTGCAAACACATTCTGGGCTGAGCCAAGGTGCCCAACTAGCAACCTTGGGGCAGCAACAAGTGAGCTACTGGGGCTTTTCACATCTCAGTGTGAATCTACCAACCCAGTAAAGTGGGGCCCCAGGTTTGTGGAGGCAGAGTTCAGGTGCTCTCCAATTAAGCAGGTCTGGGGTGTTATCTGGAGACCCTGGTTCTCAGAGGATGAAGATGGAAGAGACACTCTGGGGTCTCAGGAACCTGATGGGAGGTGAGGAGGGAGACGTGGGAAGGCCTTATTCCTCCCTGTCCCTCCTCGGCCACAGATAGCCCGTGGACACCTTGCCATCCACATTGCAAGCAGACCTTTACCCAGCTTCTCAGGTGCCCCCACTGAGCATAGCCAGTGTCTGGGGGTCCCAAGGGCAGTTGCTCAGACCCTGGCTGCCCCAGGGCCAGAAGTCCAGTCTGCCTCCCAGAAAGGCTGCTCTCTCGACCTTGCTCACCCAGCCTGTCATCCACATCTCTTTGGTTTCCATTCACAGAAACCATCTGTGTTTGTGGAGATTGATCTCGGAGAACATGCTGAGGAGGTAAAAAACCCTCACACAACAAAGACAAACGACCCTCCCAGAAATGCTTCTGCTCAGGGCCCATGAGGATTTTCCAGGGAACTTGCCCCATGCACGTGTGTGTTGGAGGGTGAGGCAGAGATGGGACCAGCAGCATCAAGAAAGCTCCAGGGTGTCGAGCATTAGCCTGGGGGGGCGGGGGGCGCTGGAGAGCACCCTCACCTCTTTCTCATCCTCCTCACTCCAACCTGCACTCATTCCAGCACCATCAGAGACTTGAGGGCCTGGGTCAACCCTTGGGGTGCCCATGGTCCCTGAAAACCTCTTGTGGGATTATTCTGGGGTGGTAGAAAGGGCACAGGTTTAGGAGTTAGGAGACCTGATCTCTACATCTGGCTCTACCAGTAAATGCTCTGTTCCTCATCTTGTAAAAAGTTGTCTCATCTGTAAAATGGGGATCTTAGTAGTACCCACACCCCAGGGTTGTTTTGTGAAGCCTTCAGTGTTTGGTACTCAGAAAGCCTCAGTATTAGGTATCACCACCACCACCATCATTATTATCACACCATCACCACCATCACTACCACCACTATTACTATCATTATCACAATCATCACCACCTACACCATCATCATCATCACCATCATCACCATTATCATCATCACATCATCATCATTTTCTGTAAAAAGAAGTGGTTGTCTCAGTGGCCTGTCTGGGATGTCTTTTTAACACAAATATTCTAGGATATCTTTCTCCATTTCTCTGCTGTAGTAAGAAGCCATCTTTTTAGTAAGTTTCTTTCTTTTTTTTTTTTTTTGAAGTGGTGAAAGAGCAGTTTATTAAAAGAGATAGAACACTTCAAAGACGTAGAAGCGGGCCCAAGTACGGAATGACTCAAGGGCCATTATTAGAAGGGACAGTACGCTCCAAAGAGTTTGGAGCTGGCCGAGCAAAAGGAGGAGCTCAAAAGGTCTAGAAGTTTCTTGAAGTTATCTCTTAGCAAATTTAAGCTCCTGCCCAGGCATTGATTTTTTTCCAGATTGCACCTTTTATCTTTTTGCCCTCAGAACATGCTGTACAGGGAAGAAAGCTGGTTATTAACCCTTGACAAGGTTATCATGGGGACCCCACAGGTTCTAAGGACTCAACGAGGGTCAGCCTGGAGCAGAGTTGGGACTAAGGGCCCATGTCTCCTGATCTACAGTCTGGAGGTCATGGTGGCCCACATCAAAGGCACAGTTCCTTGGTCAGGATCCCATAATTGGAAATTTCCACTTGATGGTGCCCTGTCTCGTCAGGGCCAATGCAGTTTCTATACCCCTATCTGATCCTTGGACAGATTCAGCACATCCAATCTTGATGTTTGTGGTTCCACTTCATCCCCTAAACTGCTCCTTTCGCTGTCCACAGGTGGTCACATGTGCCATGAGAGAAGAGAAGAGGTCCCAGATGGACATGGGGGATTTGTCAGAAGACGAGTGAGTGATGTTCATGGGTACACACTCAGGGAGGTGGGGGGGACCATGGTTTCTACCATGGTGTCTGGTGGGCTTACGTGCCTTCCCTCTTCTCCTGAGACCTTGGTCCTGCGGGCAGTGGGAGAACCCATCACACATGGCTGGTTTTTTAGCAAAGCAGTCCAGGCCTCAGGCTGGAGCAGGGGACCTGTTTGTCCTGATGACCTATACCCTATTGGGGTGGTGATTGTATATGGCCAGCAAAACCCACCCCCACTTCCTGAGGCCATAAAGAGTGCTGGGAGGAGGTGAGTACACTTCTATGCCACCCACAGGCCCAAGGATCTATTTTAATTTAAACCATACAGAGAAACACAAGGAAGAAAATAGTTTATTCAACTTCCCACCACTCATTATCAACAAGTACATTATTATCTTGTCTTATTCACTTGCATATTTTTTGAAAAGAAAAATTTCTCTATTTGCTTTGTAAAATGGATACGTGGCCATCCTAAATAACTTAAACAATGTGGACTAGCACAGCTAAGAGGAAATGTTTGAATCACTGAAGTCCCACCTCTCAGAAACAGTGAGGAGTATGCAGGAGTACATGGCTTTTGCAGTTTAGATTCAGAATAAAGGCTGGACCTGGGGACAGGCATGCTCATGAAAATAGGATCATCTGTGAGTGCTATTTTTCTGGATGGCCAGCTCTGAATGTTTATAGCATTATAGCCTTTTGCTTAATGACACTTGAACTTTGAACGAGTGAACGTGCAGGAAAAGTTTTGAGCCTCCATTCTGGGAGCTCCCAGGCAGGCCATGGCCCCTTCTACCCTCTCAGCAATTGTTACTATTGCTACCTTTCCCCCAGATTTGTATGTATTGGGGAGACAGTTTCTGTGAGGAAGTTTGATTCCATTTTTACTCAGAAGACCTACCTCTCTCCTGATCTTGACTTACACAGCTAGTCACGTCAGCTTTTACGATGTGAAAGATATCAGGAGGGCCCTATCACACACCCAAATGTAGGCTTAAAATAGGTAGTCTTTTCATAAGCAAACCTTTATTTTTTTCATTTCT